ACATTCTTTAAGACACTTCTCTGATAAAATTAAAACTACATAGAAAATTTGACTTCAAGAGCTTACATTGAGGTGGGTGTATACTGAATTGATGTTGAGATAATTAACTTGAATGGTCTTCATTAAGCAAGACAATTCAGAAATGGGAAGATAAGAGACAGGTGTGGTGTGGTGGCGCAGGCCTATCATCCCAGCAGCTCGGGAGGCTGGGGCAGGAGGATCGCAAGTTCAAAGGCAGCTTCCACAACTTAGTGAGGTCTAATAGCAACTCAGCAAGACCTGTCTCTAAAAGAAAATATTAAAAATGGGGCTGGGGAGGTGGCTCAGTGGTTAAGCACTCCTGGGTTCAATCCCTGGCACCAAAAAAAACAAAAAAAGAATTGGGAAGATAAAAACGGCATGTTAACTTTAATGAATTCTGGGATATTTCTTCTGAAGGATGGTAAATAATAACAAGCATTATTTTATTATAATTGCTCACACACTAGCCTATGTTACTTATTAATATGTGAGTATAGTATAGGATAAGTGCAGTGACTCTCTTATTCATAAGCTGCCTTGATATCTAATTAAGTGTACATAATCCATTTTCACCAAATATTTTTCAGTGAGTGGATAAGGGAATGATTCACAGGGGCTAAGAGAATTAATAATGATGACTTACCCCTGAATACTTTGAACAACTTTCTTTGGAAAATTAGTGGCTTCTTTTTTTCCTCAATATGACAGTCTATCTTATTGCAAGTTAAGAGAATAAATATACTTCACATGGATCTCCAAGTTTGAATATAAAATTATACTGGCATAATTATTAAATGGTTGAACAGCAGCAAAAGACAACAAAACCCATCCCAAAGACAGCTGTCCAAATCATGAAGTGCCGCTTTAGTCTTTGATTATTATTTCACATTTGCCAGGCATCGGCACAATGAATATTCATCACTTTCTGAGGTCAGTGGCTTCAGACTCCATGCTTCATTGCTCAATTCAAACTTGCATTTTTAAACCCTAAGTTATATGACTTTGAATAACATTTGAATTAACATCTTAACCCCCTGCACCTACTTATTTGGAGAGAAACAGGAATTTATGCAATTAATATTGTTTCCTAATTTGTGATTCTCTTTAGAGTCTATATCATTAAAATAGTTCATTTTCAGAGCTGATTGACATATTTTTTTCCAGAAAGATTCCTTTCCTCAGTAACTATGATGTTAATTTAAAGCTAAGCTGTGCCTTTCAAATGCATCCTCCCTGGGGTATCACTCTCACTTCACCTTCCCCCTGGGTAAAGGTGGTTATGAGCAAGCCTCATGGCCTTGGTTCAGTGTCATCAAGGACAGAAGCATGGGCCAAGCAGGACTTGGGAACCGAGTCCAAGGTGCTACCATCTGCTGAAGGAAATCAACCCTTCTTTCCTCTGCTTCAGCTCATGGGTGGTTTTATCATTGAGTGGAGGTTCCTGAGTTGAGGCTGACACTCCATGTCGGCTTTAGTAACAGTTCACTTTTCAATAAGTGTTAGAAAAACACCGTGACTCCTGCCCGATGGCCCAGGGGGAAGGTAAGCGTGGGTGTTTTTCAGGGGAAGCCTTTGCTCATCCGCCAGGCAGCACTTACTCATGGTTCTGTGTGCACTCAGACAAAAGTGCCATTTGTGCCTTGATTGTCACTCACTGGGAAATTATTATTAAGATAAGACAAGGAGCTTCTTTCAGCCTAACGAGTGCTTCCCGAGTGTGTGACATGACACTTAGGATCTGATGTTTTTTTGGGAGAAAGAGCTTTCTGCCACTTACCTAAAACCTTTCCCAACGTGAGGGATTTGAGGGCGTTGAATTCTGTCCCCGAGGACAGGATGACTTGTCTCTGCGCACTCTGGTTAACCTATTAAACGCCCCGTGGGAAGCGAATGTCAAAAGGAGATACAGTTTTAATGATAAGGAAGCAGAGGAGGCCAGAAAAAAGTGATAAAAATAAGTCACTTGTAAGTGCTCAACAACGCTTAAATAACTCACCTTAAACAACGTTTAGGAGGCGAAACCGATTTTATGAACAACCTCTAACT